CCTCCCTCCCTCAAGGAGGACCCTTAAAATTTTGCGGGGTCAGCAAAGAAGTATACTTTCACATATGAGCTCTGTCAATAGAGGTTGTTCCAAAAACGCCTATTTTGCCCCCTTCCTCCCCCATAGATTTGGTCCAAACTTTGCTCAGATGAAATTCTGCATCTGCCGCACAGTATTGGACTTTTGGGAAACGATTCGTTCTTGAGTTATAGCTATTTTTCTACGCGTTCCCGATTACGCGCGCGCGGCATTTTGGCGGCGCGGCGCTCCATGCCGGGCGGGCGAGAGAGGGGTTGTTTCACCGCTAGGGCCGTATATTCATGTTGTAGTCTGTAATTTTTGATACATTCTCCTCCCCATCACCCTTCCTCTCTAGAAAATATTTTTTTATACGTAGTTATACGGGGTGTTGCAGACCAGCCGTACCAGGTCTTTTTCTCGGTTGATTAATTTAAGCAGTACGAAGTCGGAGACTACGGGGTTGCGTAGGGAATCGACCCCAAGGAATCCGAATTTAATGCTCCCGACCCCCCCCCCCCCCCCCCCCCCCCCAGCCACCCTTGTGGGGGGGGAGGCAAAGAGGGGGTCACCATCCCACAAGTCGGGAGAAATTGTGCCTCCCCCTTTTACTCCCCAAAGGAGGCTAGAGGGGCTTCGAGACCATGAAAATCGGATTTGTTGGGGTCGATGCCTCGGGAAACCATATTTTTCGGAGAATCAACGTCAATTTTTGATCAAATGGAAATGATGGGGGGGGGGGCTGCTGTCCCCCTCTTTGGAGCTTCCTCAGACCGCGTCAAAGATTTGCATCTAATGACGCGTGAAATGCATCATCGGAAGCTCTCGATGGGGGTACATTTATTGGTGCTTACAAAACAAATGACAAAGAGGTGGACAACTAAGAATACAAAATGGTGGGCGGGGCTAGGGCGAACTAAAGGGCTGAGGGGTGAACGGCAGAGGGGGTAGGGGCCGGAGACCGGACTCCCTTTTAAAAATCTATTATTGCACAAGGGTGGAGGAAGAGCAGACCCGTACCATTACTATCTGGGACCTGCTTGCGCAGAGGCCCAGTGTCGGAGGCGGTAATCGGGGGGGATAGATTCAAGGAGCCAATACCATTCGTATCTCGAATCTGCAAAGCAGAAGCCCACTGTCAAAGGCGGTGACTTGGCAAGGATGGACTAAGGGACCGATACCATTCCTATCTCGGACTTGCGAGGCAGAGGTCCACTGTCGGAGGCGGTGACTTGGCAAAGGTGGATGGAAGGAGCAAGGTAAATCGTATAGGGACTTGGACCGTCCGCGCTCATACGTCGCAGGAGCAAATACAAGACTCACTATACGAGGAGATGTGTGAGAAACTCGGAGGCTGCTGGCTCCGGCCGCGGACCCCATCTAAGGCAAAACACGAACATCTGTAGAGGAACGTGAACCAAGAGACCAGATTGCGAGATCTATTGGCGAAGTATGGATACAAAATGTGGGAGAAAGCTTGAAAGAGGGAAAGTGTGCGGTAGGGCAAGGGGAGGCGAGTGAATCATGAGTACGGAGCGGGCCCGGCCACGAGATCAGAGGGGACATGGGGAGTCCTCGGAAGGGGCACTGAACGGGGCCTGAGTGCCGAAAATCAGGAGACGCATAAAGGGGGGAAAAGGGGGGGGGATTTCTCTCAGTAGCACAATCAAATCGCAATTCCATCGGGGACTTCGACTTTTAGGATCGTGACTCCCTCCTTACCGCCCCACAAGGNGGGGGGGGGTTCGGGAGCATGAAATTCGGATTACTTGGAGTCGATTCCCTATTCAACCCTTTGGTCTCCGACTTCGTACTACTTAAATTAACCAACCAAGAAAAAGACCTGGTACAGGTGGTCTGCAACACCCCGTATAACTACGTATAAAAAAATATTTTTTAGAGAGGAAGGGTGATGGGGAGGAGAATGTATCAAAAATTACAGACTACAACATGAATATAAGGCCCTAGCGGTGAAACAACCCCTCTCTCGCCCGCCCGGCATGGAGCGCCGCGCCGCCAATATGCCGCGCGCGCGTAACCGGGAAGGCGTAGAAAAATCGCTGTAACTCAAGAACGAATCGTTTCCCAAAAGTCCAATACTGTGCGGTAGATGCAGAATTTCATGGAGAATCACCTCAACAGGTTTTTATTAGCTATGTTTATGCGAGCCTCTTAACCTAACTTCAATTGAAACCTGAGTTTGAAACCAAGGTTCAAATCACGGCATAAACGATACGGAACTAACGAAATGTAGGTTTCCGAAATTTGTGTTTGAAACCTTATTTTACACTAAAGACTAGGTTATCGCACTCCGCATAAACGAACCGGAGGTTGAAATTAGTTGAAATTCGACTTCAAATGCGATTTTCAGGTGCGCGATCGGCAATATGGCGGATTTATTATCATAACGTTCGTAAACAACTGGTGCTTATCTCACGATTTAGCTTTAATTTTGCCATTATTTGACATTTTTTACAATCATAATTTTACTTTAATTGTTGCTTAAGCACTTTTACGTGATTCCTTCAGTTATATGTGGCTTATTTATCCTCATGTAGCCAAACGTAAGACGTTATTTTCTAGTGAAGGTGTTTAGTGTCAGATGGAATCCAGGCTTATTACTGCTTTTTCAGATAATTCTTTCAACTCTAATCAACATTTTATGACCACAGAAGCAAAGCAAGCAAAGAGCTTTACAGGCTACAATTGAGTAATAGCCTTACCTACCAGTTCATCATCTGCGGAGAACTTTTTTACTGTATCCACACGATTTGCCTAAGATTTCAAGATAAGGCACCCTGCTTCCATTTAAGTAGTGCACCGAATTTTTTCATTTCAATCTACCGATTAAATCTAAAATCTGATCCAATCAGAGCTGTGTAGCTCTTGAATTTGTGTGTTATCCATGTATCTATTTCCTGGTTGTCCTACTGGAAGTGTGAGACCAGCCACAACCGTGACCTGCTGACTTCATTCTTTGATCCAATCTCTTGTAAATGATGACTCAAATTCTGAGGCCATCATTTATTGAAACTAGTTCAAGTTATTGCTCCAAAGTATCGTCACTCTTCTCATACTGAGGTAGAAGGAAGGAGATTTTTTGGTGAGTGCTCTGTTATCCAAGATTTGCAATTTGAGATAAGAATACGGTTTTTAGTGAGGCGTGTAACAATTTTTGGTCGTTGAATCACTTGTCATAATTGAGCCTTGGCGTTAGAGATGCATCAACTGTGGAAAGTGGCTCTGCCTGTGCAAAAATATCTTGTGACAGCAGTGAATGTTAGTAAATGCGCTTTACAGGTAGACTGAAAGCTCCATATTCCAATCTACCCGAATAATTAAATTCAAAAGCATCTTTGAACTGAGTTCATATCGAATCTCAATGGGAGAATAATATACAGTGTAAGCGAAAGAATATCAATGGTGAGGTTGGGTTTGTGTCTTAGGTTAGTGAAATGCAATGGCAGGCTCTGAAATCTTGTTTGTCAGTTGCTCTTTACATGAGTCACCTTTGAAAATCAAGTTTAAGAAAAAAAACACATAGGTAGGCAAACAGTAGTAGGTAGCTTGCCTCTTTTCTTCCTGTCTTGCTCATGGACTTGGAGAGCAGTCGGAAAGAGGGGTGAGAAACAGGATTTCAGCGCGTGTCTCTGGGAATGTGGAAATTTAAAATTTGTGAAGCGTCATCAGTTTGTTAAGATTGTCACCGTCCGTTGCCTCAAGAGGATTTTGACGCTTCTGCTTCAGCAATACATTGTTGACCTATCAATGTCCGCTTATTTTGATCATATTTTGAAGGAGCGATTCCCATAAGTATTCCCGATTAGTTATTTGTTTCACTACAATAATGGCAGACATACAATTTTTACGACACCATGGAGTGAAGGTGCGGTGCTTTACTGGATTAGCACTCCTACACTTTCAATGCCTATATCTACCTATTGTAAGATCATTAGAAGCTCAATAAACAACATGATGAATTTCTGCGCCTGCCACAATTATTTTTAACATCACTAAAATTACCTATGGCAACTTTTCTGGACTCAGAATATAAGCTCGAGCATGATTTGAAGGGTTGTTGAGATTACTTAGGTATTCATTCAATTTTTAAATATGAACGTAAAATGATTAAAAATCCACTGTCATTTTTCCAACTGTTGCTCAGAGAGTCAGTAAAGGCTTTTCTAGTGAAGATGAAGCCTCCGCTTATATACTGCGGAAAAATTGTGGAACATATACACGGGATAAAAGAGTAATAATAATTTTATTGAATCAATTCAGAGTGAAAAATTTAAGTATAGCTTGTGGAAATGGCGCCAACGCATGAAATTCAAGTTCAATCGAAAATATGCGCATAAACAGCGCCAGAATCGGAAAGTTTGATTTCCCGCGAAAGTCGGGTTACAGCGCCCGCATAAAGCCGACGGCGAAAACTAGCATTACAAACTCGGGTTTCGTGAAACCTCGGTCTCGAGCCTCGCATAAACGTAGCTAATCACCTAGTAACGATCGCCTGGAAAGGAGAGACAGAAAACGAAAAAAAGTCGAACCGTCAAAATCGAAAAGATTGATTTCTGACTATGTTAAATCACGCAACCGTGTAAGCAGCATTAATATTCTTGTAGAGATTATTTTTTAACGTTTTTCAGCGTAAAGCGCAACACTTATACTCAAACCGTTCGCGAGATATCGATTTTTAAAGTTTTGAAAAATTGCAACTTTGCCCCCCTGCTTCCTCCCCCCCAATTATTCGAGGGGACTGAAATTTTGCTCAATCGTCAGAGACACTTAGTACAACATCTGAGCAAAGTTTGGGTCAAATCTAGGGGGGGGGGGGCAAAATCGGCGTTTTTGGGACAACCTCTTTCAAGTATCCATCTCAATTCGATCAAAAGTATCCTCAGACTTCTTTGTCACCCTGTATTATATATAGATGAAGGAGCATGTTCATTAATGTCTGTTTATACTTGTTTTTCTCCCAGGAATTGGCAAATGAAGAACTTCTACGGCTCAGCCATTGCTTGCAATTATTCGGTAAGGTTTTTATCACGAGTGTCCTGTTTTAAAATGTTTTGAATTTTGCCGCATAAGGAACCTAACTACTTAAAATGAACTACAGCAGAGGATTAAGGAGATACATAGATTGTAATTTTATTTTGAAAAGTCTCTTCAAAAAATGTACCTCATAAGTCAACCTTTTTATTACCAATTCCATCAAGCTGTTTTAGTTACTGATTGTGAGCCGAAAATGCTACGTACCTGGGGATCTATGGTTGTGCTCTGCAACTCAAACCACTTTAGTGATGCATTGTCTAATCTATCTCAGCTAGAGTACCTATATAGCGAGAGTATGGACAGATCGCTTCATGGAGGGCTTAGGGCCCAAAAGTGCAGCCATCCTTCTAACCAACTTCTAACAAACAAAATTTCACTGCCAGTATGCAGATTCCAATTCTAACTAAGATGGCTAAGAATGTACATAAATGAGCGTTCTTCCGCAAAATTGAGTAAATTTATGCAAAAACCAAGTCAAATACGTGCTTTTACAAACGATGGTTCGTAACAACTGTATTAGTAAAGTCCTGTGGATAATTGAAATTCATAGGTTGGCTGCATTTCTGGGCCCTAACTTTATTCGCGGAGACATCGGTGAAGGCCTGATGGATTTTCGGAGTTCCACATCTGTCCATACTCTCGCTATACAGGTACTCTAATCTCAGCAATAAAGCAACCAAGCATTCTGAAAATAAGACCAATTCTACGGCACTACTCGTGTGGCTTTGGTCTCATTACAGAAAGTATGTAATTGGTTAATTTTTTCGAACAGTCATGTGCAGGAATCTCGCGCTACTCACAGAAGAATATAGCCTCTAGTAATCAGCAAGACAAGTGCTGAGTTGCGAAATATTTCCTATTTCATGTGTATTTCGATGTTTCAAAAATGTTGGCTTGATCGGTGAATGCACATAGGTTGAAGGTGTCTTAACAAAAGAGTCATTATCACCTTAGAAAGGAGAGATCAAAACAAAAAGAGGATAGTCAAAAGTCCCCCCAAAACCCAAAAAAAAAGAAGCCTAAAACAAAGTAAGTAGGTTAAGTCATGGTAAGGTTGCAATTCCTTACGAATAATGAGATCAATTTTTTAAGGAAATGCATCATCTAAAACGAGAAGAAAAACGCATGTAAGAAAGAAACTCGTCTAATTTATAGAAAACAAAATAAGATGATAGTAATAAGATAAACTGCTTTTTTATCCTCTTTCGAACGTGGTATCACAAAGAGGGTCTTCCCATTTTTTAAAAAAAAGTTGGGGTCCGCCCCCACCTCCCTAGGAAGGCCCCTAAAATTGTTGAAGGGGATGAAAAAGTAGCTCCTTTTGACCTAGGAACATCCTCAAAGTTTCAAATCTTTCGCTCAATTAGGTCAAAAGTTAGAGGGGGATGGACTTTACCGACATCCTGCAAAATTATTAGTGTAACGCGTTACAACTTGACGCTGGGCGTGTCCGCTACCTCTTCCATTGTATCACCTCTCCTTGCTCATTCTGCGCCCCTGTCCATTTGCTACCCTTTCTCCCTGTAAATGTGTTACTGCACCCCCACTTTCTCTTTCGGCTTTTTACCAACTATTTAGGGTTTTTTCGAACAGTGCTGGCCAGTTTCCTCTGTGACTTAGTGATGCATCGTTTTGTGTAGTTTAGCCAGTTTTTTTTTTCCTTTTTCTTTTATTATAACTTTTTTCCCTTTACTTTAACACGCTTCTGGTACTTTTTTCAGTGAGATGTGAAGCATTCTCATTCTACATAAAATCGGTTTTTTTTTTCATGGTAAAGAATCATTATTGTTGACTCCCTCGATAATTCTGAGCATTTTATTCCTTGTAATCACTATTTGTAAAATGTTTTCTTATTTATTTTAAAGCATTAATATTATTGATTTCCTCAATAATCCTAAGAATAAATTATTATTTTTTTTTCATATATCATCTCCTTTCATAGCTTGGAAAATCACTTTTAGTTATTGACAGGATATAGTCCCTAGATGAGTCCACTCAATTTAGATTCAGACACAAGGGATCCACAAAATGGACCTTGGAAGACGCGATACGCCTCTGCAAGGGCTGGGTCGCATAGCCCCCCAGTAGTGTATTAATAGTCAGGGCAAAATAGCGTTTGACCCGGAATAAATTGCAACTAAAGGTTTTTTTGCGGGAATCTCTCTAGTTATACTACCTAAACAATATTCTAAAAGTTCGGCACGATCCGATGACCGGAAGGGGGGGGGATGGCCCCAAAACGTTAAAATGCACAGAAAAAATTTGCGTTTTTTTAGATATTTTTGCATTTTTGAAGAAAAGTATCGGGTTTCTGCAAAAAGTGCATAGAGCTTTTTTAAAAGTACATTAAATTTGCTTTAAAATGAGTGGTCGCACAACACTCTGCGATAATGTGCTCTCTAGTTACAGGGAATGGAAGAGAGCATAAAATTTCGACAATTTTACGAAAAATCTTGTATTTCAGCAGTTATTATCATTTTTCACCAAAAATATTGAGTTTTCTCAGGAAAAGCTAGGAATCTTTTTGAAAGTAAATGCAATTTACGTTGAAACGATTGCTTACACAATAGTGTTCGACGCTTCGTTGCTGTGTAACACGAGCTTGAATGAGCCCATGATTTCGGCTATCCTCTGTGAATGACCCCTCGTCGGCTGTTATGTGCATTTCGCAATTGAACGATTAATTTTACACCCGAAATGAAAGAAATAATATCAAATTGAACATTTCACATCTAGAATGAGTGAGCTCTCACAGCTTTTGCGGTCGGATGTTTTAAAATTTGAAGTGAAAGAAGCGAAATGAGGGACAAAGCTCGATCGCAAGATGGAGTCCTGGGATCTAGGGGAAACGTGACTTTAGGCTCTAGTAAAGAAGACTGCTAAGCAAAAGTTTCCATGGTAAACTCGTCCTTCCTCGTTTTATCATAAAAAGGAAAGCAAAAGTTTGTACTAAGTAATGATACACTTAGGTTTTCCTCTGGGAGTTCAACATTACTAAAAATTTAGTATCCAATCAAACCTTTTTGCAAAGAATGACTTAAATCTATTTTGGAAAGGAGTGTTATTTCTAATGATGACGTTATTCATTTTCTCCTCATGCGCTTGTTTGGTTTTCACAAAAACTTTTTCATTACGTTGCAATTCAAAGTTCAAAAAATGGCTTACAATTTCCTTTGAAGATGACGCTTCTGCCCTCTTCTTTGCACTTCGGAGCTGCTTATTGACAATTTTTTCTTCTTGGCACGCATCCTGAATGGCGATGTTCAATATCCGATGCTGGAACTCTGACACTAATGTTTGTAGTTTGTTTTTGTTCCTTCGTTGTGACAATTTGATGCTAATTTTAAAGTTCAAGAAACTAGGGATTACATACTACCGTCGACATTTTAATAGGAACAGCTTCCTATTTTTTGATGCATACGCTTTTGTGAGACACGCACTCAGATATTTAAAGTTTTGCAAAACAATGATTCCAAATGTATTGAGTAGGAATTGGTAGAAAGCCATATTTAATTAGCATATGACACTGATATCCATATTTCAGTCGTGTTATTATAAGTTTAATTTCATGCTTATTATATTTGTATGATTAAATGAATTTCATGAGTTGTATAACCTTTCACATTACTTTTTATTTATTTTAAATTTACATTGTTATCTGGCGACGTTTCGGTGGCTGATTTCCACCATCATCAGGCACAGACTGAGGAGTTCGTTAACAATGTAAATTTAAAATAAATAAAAAGTAATTTGAAAGGTTATACAACTCATGAAATTCATTTAATCATATATATATATATATATATATATATATATATATATAAAAGATTTGCAGCCCGACATGATACAAAAGATGACACAATAAAAGGACTACGTGCAAAATAGGCCATTTGGGGCTCGGGGCGGATACCTTTGAGACTTGCCCTATTCATTCACCGAACAATGCCCCATCTTTTCCCAAAGTTTCAAGCCCCCCGAAAATTTTGGGGAGACGCGGCGGGGGGGTCAAAGTTAAAAACCGGCAAAATTTTCGCGAATTTATTACTCGAAAACCAAGAAGTTTTGGAAAACGCTGTTTAAACTGGCGTATTCAGCGTGACGAGAGCTTTCAGAAAATGTACAACATCATAGGGGTTTGTCAACTTCAGCTCGAGTTGTCGCCTCCGAAGCGCCGGAACGCTCAAAAGAGACCCCTTACTTTTTCACGTTTGGGCCGATTTAAAAAATAATCCATTTTTTTATTTTGATGAAAAACTGATATGTTGTTCCTGACTCTCTGTAGCCCCTCTAGCTCTTTTCCGCATGCTGGGGAAATGTTTGGGTCGCGAGTTATAAGAGCGGAAAGAAGCGAAGGTCGGGAAAATCGGCTATTTTAAACTGCGCGCGCGGCGATGATCGGAAGGAAAACGTCCCCTCCCACTCAATTCGGCGAATCACACTCCTCTGCTGACCTTGCATTGTTGCCACATGTCTCCTGATCCGTCGCCGTGCGCAGTTTCAAACAGCCGATTCTCCCGACCTTTGCTCCTTTCCGCTCTGATAACTCGCGACCCAAACATTTCCCCAGCATGCGGAAAAGAGCTAGAGGGGCTACAGAGAGTCAGGAACAACATATCAGTTTTTCATCAAAATAAAAAAATGGCTTTTTTTTTAAATCGGCCCAAATGTGAAAATTAAGGGGTCTTTTTTGAGCGTTCCGGCGCTTCGGAGGCGATAACTCGAGCTGAAGTTGACAAACCCCTATGATGTTGCACATTTTCTGAAAGCTCTCGTCACGCTGAAATTTTCAAATCGGCTTCATTTTTTGACAGCACACTTAATCCTGTGATGTCGCATACTCCAACGATTGAAGGCGTCCCGCTTGACAACTTTAATGTCAGCAAATTATTGCGCTTACTTGGCCAAATAAAGGAAAACAAGTTGATACCATTGATTTCCTTAAACTAGAGGGTATTTGAAAGATAACGGTTTCTGGAATTTTCATTATTCGCGTTTCCTCAAATTTGCCGCCATGTTGAATTTTCCGAAATTTTATTTTGAAACAATGCCATCCAAACTTGTGACAACGTCAGTTGTTTTTCCTTGCCTTAAAGGGCACTTTTCAAACTTTTCATTCCAGGTTTGTTTTTGTTTTTTCGGTAATTTGGAGCTCAACGGTGATTTTTTGAAAAGTGGTCAATTTAAAATTTTAACCGACTGTAACTTTTGAACGAGTGAACCGATTTTAATTTTATTTACGTCATTTTTCTTGTTTTTTTAAGTTCTTTTTAACCATGTCTAAAAAAATGGGGGTTGCTATTTGAATTTTGAAAGTTGCCCCCCCTTGGGGCCCACCAGGGGGGTCCACCAAGAAAAACCCCCCATCGAAAAATTTCCCCTTCTGGATGATGAAGAATGCCTCAAACCGCGACCTTCTATCTTTTTTCGTTCAAAAATTATACCCACTTTTCAGTTACTTTACGGACACCCGGTAAAAAAAATACTGTACGTTTCGGGGCGAAACAACCAACCCCTTCCTCAGCGGCTAAAACAAAAAAAATTAAGCTAAAAACCTAAAAAATCTAAAAAACTACCTCCTCCCCATCTCGCCAATGCTTAACCTATAAATCACAATCAAAACGATAAGTCACCGCGACCACCGAATGGCAGCAATGATCGCACCGAAAAAACCCCAACTACAGGGTGCTCCATAAAAAACAAATCAGACACTGATACAGGTTGTCTCAAGGGGGCAGAAAAAATTGATGGTACGTCGTACTTAGTTTATCAACATCAGCGCAATAGTTACACACTGAGTCCCTGTTTTTTATGGTATGCACCATTTCTAATATTGACCGAGCAAAGTCATTATCTTCGCGCGCTAAGATTCTAACATTATCGAAATGAAACGTACCTGTGTCCCACAGTGTTCTGATAATCATGCAAAGCAGTTTTTTCTTTGGAATCATATTTATGGCCATTCATGCGTTTACCAAGCTGTTAAGATCCCGTACCAAGATCGTAAACGTATTTCCTCCTTATGCCCTGGGTGATTTTATCCAAAATTCTACAAAACAGAACTGTAGGTTGCGGACAATATTGGATGAAAGGTTGGGCCATAAGTTTTATTGGCTGAAGAAAGTAGCTAAAATGTGTAAATACTCTAAATATGTGTGTAGATTCCTACCGTTTCTTGGAAAGAAAGACTCTTGGATAGAAAATTTGTCTGATTCTGTTATAACTGATTATGTATACCGGTTCTATGTTTGGGTCCAGGGTTTTCCATTCCCTTTTTTGCATCAAACAATAATAACGCTCCTCCTATGAAACCAGTGCTACTGGAGCGCATTGTTGCAACAGTGGAAACTAAAATCAGGTTTGAGCTGCCACCAATTGTGTCGCGTATTAGGGGTGGCATTGCAAATATTCTTGGTGATTACCAAAACCAGGTCAGCAAAGTTTCTAAATCTGAAAATATCCGTGTAGTTCCAAACAACATTTTCAGAGATTATTATTTTACCAAATTCTTGAAAGAGGATTTTAGGAGAACTTATTTTTTCTGTAAGCTTAATCGTCAAATCAAGGTCATCAGAGCAGACAAGACCAATAAAACTGTCATCATCAATAGTGTTGATTATGAGAAAAAAATGTTAGATCTTTTGAACGATGGCAGTACTTATAGGGTGAGTAGGCACTTGCTGGTGCCTGCTCAGTACAAACAAAACAGAACGCCACTATTGTCGACTTTTGGTGTAGAAAGGAATATATTACTGAAGCTCAAGCAGGTATGTTAAAATCGAGGTCTGCTGTGGTGTCAAAAATTTATGGATTAATTCAATTACATAAGGAAGATAAGCCGCTCCGACCAATTGTGAGCACCACAAATTAACCTTCTTATGCAGCGGCTACGTTTTTATCAGGAATTTTATCGCACATTGTGGGTAAAACTGAATATCATGTAAGAAACCCATTTGAATTTTTTGATTTCGTCAATGATTTAGAATTGCCCAATGGTTTTCGCCTTATTTCTCTTGATGTCGTTTCCATGTACACAAACATACCTGTAGAGCTGGCTCTGAGGTGTGTGAGTGATAGGTGGGAAGATATAGAGCAGTTTTGCACCATCCCAAAGGACCATTGTGCATTGTGGCAAGGGGCTGATTTTTTACGGTGCGGGGGCTTATTAATGGGGCCCCCAAGGCAGCCCCCCCAGGGAGGGGGAGGGCAACTCGAGATTTTCAAATGGCAACCCCCTCCCTCCCCCTTTGTAATACATCGTTAGAAAGAAGATAAAAAAACAAGAATGTTTGTGCAAACCGAAGATCAATCCGACTTTTCGTTCCCGAGTTATTTACGATTTAAGTTCAATTTGGATTAATTTTCAAAAATTGTTAAGTCTGTTAGAAAAGTCGCAAAGAGGCCGTCTACGGGTTAAAATTCGTAGCACTATTATTTCATTCATAGCTAAGTTATCGGATTATGTACTTCTCATCAGTTCGCGAGGGAGGGGAAGGGGGCTTACCGCCTGAAAATTTTACACTATCGGCGTTGTTTTCCCCCGTTTCAAAGTGCGCTCAATGCCTGCAATGGAAGCCGATGTCATGACTCTGAGCGCACTTTGAAACTTTTATCGTTTTGTCTTTTAAGCGCACTTTAATCGTGAATAACTCGGGAACGAAAAGTCGGATTGATCTTCGGTTTGCGCGAACATTCTTGTTTTTTTATCTTCTTTCTAACGATGTATCACAAAGGGGGGGGGGTTGAAAATCTCGAGTTGCCCCCCCCCCTGGGGGGCTCTCTTGGGGGCCCCATTAATAAGCCCCCTGAAAAAGTCAGCCCCTTGCCACAATGAACAATGGTCTAAACCGGAACCCTATATCTCTTTTAGTTTAAAAGTTACAGACACTTTTGAGTTACTTTATGCCCACCCTGTAATTAGCATTATAACGTTTACAAGGTGACTTACAATTTGTTGTGATGAAGCGATTATAAAACAAAAAAATAATCAATTGTAAAGATAATATTCACGGATCAAGAATCGAACCCCGGACCTGCGGCGCCGTAGGCGAGCGCGCTACCGCTAGGGCAACGGCCGCATTTGACTTTAAGGACACTCGGATCGCACTAAAAGGTGCGCGCACAGTAGGCTCAACTTGGGCGTGTCGCTGACACGAAAAAACGGAAACTTCATATGACACCGAAAGGAAAATATGGTTTCTTATATTAACCTATTCTACCTCTCTGCCAAAGAACCCGATCTGAGGGGGACAATCGGTAGCCTCCCCTTGTAAGCCAGGAAATGTTTGAGGAATTGCATTAACATAATATTTACACTGGTCAACAATTTTTTTTTTAGATTTTCCGAAGATTTGCCAAAAAACGGGTTTTTTCGCCCCCCCCCCCCGAATTTCCTCAAACATTGGCTATTACTCATACTTGAGCCCAAGTATGAAGCTCAATTTGAGCTTCTCAGTTTTATATTTGAACCAAAACAATATTTTTAAATTGCTCGTCTTTTTCTGCATCTAACATGTGGTCAATTAAGCTGGGGAACTAAAGGATTCGAGAGTTATGGACAATTGATGTTACCGCTCTACGCGCGCCAACCTATTTTCGCGTGCCCAACTATGGTTCCAAAGCCGTATTTGGGTGTTTTTAAATCAGATTCAGTGTTCAAATCTTACAGAATAAATTTTTAGGGATTCTTGAGGGTCGCTGAGTTCAAAAATTACCGATATCTCCAAAAAATTAACTTATTTTAAAATTACAGCTTCGGAACATTACTTTTTAGGCGCACTGAACGCTGACCGGCCGCTCAGTGGGCCGTTCTGAAGCTGTAATTTTAATAGAAAATTTTTTTTGAAGTATCGATAATTTCGGAACTCAGCGACCCTCAAGAAGCCCTAAAAATTTATTTTGCACGGTTTGAACTTTCAATCTGATTCAATAACACCCATATCCGGCTCTGGAACCACAGTTCGGCGCGCGTAGCGCGGAAACTTCAATCATCCATAACTCTCGAACCCTTTGGTTCTCCAGCTTAATGGACCACTCATTGGATGCAGAAAAAGACGAACAATCTAAAACATCGATTTTGGTTCAAATACAAAATTGAGACCTCCGTGTGTTTTTTGTTTAAAAGAAATATTCTCGACTCAAATCAAAACGAGGACGACTCACGATTGATTTGCAAGCATATGCTCACAAATTTGTTGAGGTTGAGGAAGCTTCCAGAGTAAGGAAACCACCTGCTTTGATGGGCTACATCGTCTGCTTGAGCCCCTGTGGGGTAGTATGTAGGTGGGCTCTCCCATCTCTTTTATAAATAATTTTTTTATGTTCAAGACTTTTTTATTCATTCATCAATAAATTTGTATTTCCTCCAGATAAAGCTTACCATGGCGGAAAGACAAACTGGGCTTGCATCGAGCTTCTAGAAAGAATCAATAACCGATTTAATTCAAGATCAACTATTGATGAAGTATCTGAAGCAATTCTGCAGAATATTCGTATCAACAGAGAAAATGCCGTAAGTAGTTCAATGAAATTTTTCTCCCTGTATGATAAGAAAGTATGGTTTTCCACCCTACAACTCCCTCCATTTTGAAAAGGTTCTAAAATTTCATAGAATTTACAATTGACAAAAAGTGGAGGCATTCTCCTGTATATGTAGTTGCAAATTTGATTTCCTTGGGACCAGCTTTGGCTAAATCGTCGTAATTAGCACTGTAAATGATTAAGGAAAAGACAAATTTAAAATTTGAATGTTTGATACTCTTATATATTTTTCTTCTTATTTTGAACAATTTTGTTTAATTAGTACAGAACTTCTGCAACATGACAATTTTTCGTATTTATCTACATTTATCGATGATCAAAGTGGGAAATCCTGTATCTCCGTTTGTGACATTGCACACTTCCCGTCATACTTTGTTGTTTCCTTGGAAAATTAGTTAATGTAATTTATTGAAAAACTCGTTGGTTTTTCCTCTTCATCAGCAAAATATTCTAAAAAATTTTCAAGCCAAAAAGTTGGCTTTTTTTCCCCTCAAAAAATAAATTAGCAGTGGCCACTTTGAAACACAACAATGGAAATAGTGGGTCAGTTATGCTAGTCACAGAATCATGTTTTGATACTTGATTCTCGTAGATTAATAAAAAATAATAAGATCTGTCCAAACCGCAACTTTCTCTGTTCAATATTAATCGAGTACTGCCCTTTGAAAAGTCAGGTTTTTGACGTCATTCACCGCAGCAGTGACGTCCTTGGCTTCTTCCTCTTTTGTTCGATCAGTGATGCAGAGGGTGCAACGCGAAACTTCAATGACATTAAATGTAAAGAAACTAAAGAGACTGACGACTTTGCACTTTAAAGATCTTCTGAGACATGAGATGACGCACTCGCCGCGAGGAGATTAGGCAGTCAGTCAGTTCACCTCAGTTTGTTTACATTTAACGTTGTTGAAGTTTTGTGTTGCACCCTCTGCATCACTGATCGAACAAAAGAGGAAAAAACCAAGGGTGTCACTGCCGCTGTAAATGAAGTCAAAAACCTGACATTTCAAGGGGTGATATCTCGATTAATGTTGAACGCAGAAAGTTGCAGTTTTGACGGATCTTATCTTTTTCAGCTAATCTACAAAAATCAAGCATCAAAACACGATTCTGTGACCAGCGCATCTGACCCATTGGTTTCGCCCTTTAGCCATCCTTATAATCCAGGGATTAAGTTCATGAAGTGCTTAATGGCAAAGGTATAATTTGACGTAGATAAGTGACTATCAGCGTAAATGAGCTTAAGCTCGTTGTTGATCGGTTGAGCCAAAATGGGTGGCTCACAAGATTTCGCATTTTTCTCTTGTTTGGGCCGCTATAAAATTGGAAGATATATCGATCTTGGGGGCTTAATTTCCGATACAAATAAATTGAGTGGACTGTATTTTTGGGGCCTAGGAAACTGACTTCTGGCGAACCTGAAAAGGGACAGGGGGTGGGGAACACATAAGTACAGAAGTCATCATATTCCATTCATAAAGGGTGTGTCCGAGTGAAATACATGAATCAGCTTACCACTGAGTGTTAGTGTGCAGAAACCATCTAACCATTATTCCTGGGTGACAAGACTTGCTCATGAAGTCATAGATGAGATTTAGCCTTCCATGGTCATGAGAAATCTAGGCATGACCTTGAACTTGAAGTCTTCAAGGGATTAGGGGTTTTCAGGGTCCTTTCAAGGGGGCAAAGGGGAGGATTCGTTCTCTTTGAGCTCTAATGAAGGGTACTCAGGGCGAGGGAAGGAACAAAGGGAGAAAATACACTTATATTCGTCAGGGCTGAAATTAGCAACCATGAGGTAAAGCCTAAAGGGGGGCTGGGGTCCTAGATGCTAGATTTCAAGGGAGGTATAATTCATGAATTCTACCTGAATACAACCAGAAAACGACGTGGGTGGATCAAAAGTTAATCCAAAGGATGAGCTGTAGGAGATGAGAAATCTTGAAGACTTAACACCAAAACGACACGATTTCTTACGAGAGAATCACAGGACGCAAAAACAACAAGAAAGCAGGGCAGGGAGTCAATAGGAGTGGGAGCCAACACGTGGGAACTTGTAGATAAATTGAACCTGGCAACGAGGTAACCAACCGGGTGCACGGATGAATACATTTGCAAGGAGGGGAGGAAGGGGATGACGGGGGCGCTAATTGACAAGCATACGCGATCCATGGGGGAGTTGGACAACTAAATCCGCTAAATAGCAAAAAGGGCGCTAGACGGCGGGAGAGGTATCGAAGTTCGATATTTTCAGGGCGCGGGGGCGCCAACATCTTTGATGCAGTCAAAATTTTTCGGTACCCACTAGACAGACGGTAAAATTCCTGCAAACGTTGACGCCAACAGTATATCCTGATAAAAATCGGATTTAAAAGTGACCTGATGTAGGTGGTGGCAAACAACCAGCACCAATATTGTAAGTCTAATCTCAAGTCTTTTCCGACCCGAATATGCTCAACTGTGCTGCTAATACTCAAACAATCAACAACAAAAATACGCCTCCTGGTTTGATAGTTCCATGCAGGAGCTAAAATATCCATCATCATGTATCTCAGATCATGAAATAAAAATGAACAACAAGGAACTTCCTCTCGTCCAACATAATTTGAAATGTGGGGTTCAGCTATTTAATGGGATGAAGTATCTTATTTGCTTTTTTTTTTAGAACCTGCTTTGCATCATATTGGCCATATTTGACTCTCCTTATAGTTATTAAGCTGTAACTTGTCTGCATCAAATCACACCTTTATTACAATGTATTTTTCCAACTGGGGAGCTCTAAAAAATGTATAAAACTTATGCAGTTTTAAGGGAAAAATAGATGTTGAGAAAAGTTACAAATTGAATCTTTTTGATTTTATTTATTTTTTATTTTTATTTATAAAGATTAGTACATCAGCCTGAACAGAAAGGCTCAAGACAAGTCAAATTAGAAAAAGTTACAAAATAGATGAATATTACAAATTTAAAAATTCTTGCAAGGTGTAGTAAGTGTTTGTAAAAAGTGTTCTTTTAATATCTTAACGAACTAATTTGGCGACTCAGCTTTGACAAAGATCTCTTTCAACTCTTTAGGTAATTTGTTGAAAAACCTGAATCTCCTAAAATCCAAGCTATCCCAGTCCCAGCCAGTGTCAACCTTTCTTGTTTTTCTCACTAGAATATTTCTTGTTTCATTGTCATGGTCATTTTTGCTTCTCTCCTTACTTATATAACCCATTTTTATGGCTTCCTTGATTGTGATAAAAATGTACTGAGCGGAAACTGTCTTAACTCGGAGTTCAGAAAACAGCCTTCTACAAGACTCAAGTCTACCATTTTTTGCAATTTTACGCGAAACTTTCTTTTGGGCTAATAGGATATCACTTACATCTAAGGCATGTCCCTTCAGGTGAACGCCATTGTTAATAATGGAGTCAAAGTTGGCATAGTAATAATTCATTAGGGAGTCTCTGTCAGCTCTACCAGCTAGTTTCCTAATATGGCCCTGGAAAACAACTTTTTCAAAGGCCTGCACATTTCTGGGTAGATTTAGTATGCAGATTTTTCCAAAATTTAACTTAAGATTGTTTGCCACAACCCAGTTATTAACGAAGGAAATTACCCGTTCTATTTTCTTCAGTATATTATTGGCAATAATGGACATGATAAATATATGGCATAATATAAGGATTGTAATAATAAGGATTATTGCCCTGGACCACAATAGCTACGTTTTTATGCGAGGCTCGAAACCGAGGTTTCACGAAACCCGAGTTTGTAATGCAAGTTTCCTCCGTCGGGTTTATGCGGACGCTGTAACCCAACTTTCGCCGGAAATCAAACTTTCCGATTTTGGCGCTGTTTATGCGCATATTTTCGATTGAACTTGAATTTCATGTTTGCCCCATTTTCACAAGCTATACTTCATTTCTTCCCTATGAATTGATTCAATAAGATATTATTACTCTTTTATTCCATGTATGTTCCACAATTTTTCCACAATATATAAGCGGAGGCTTCATCTTCACTAGAAAAGCCTTTACTGACTTTCTGAGGAACAGAAATTCATCATGTTGTTGGTTGAGTTTCTAATGATCTTACAATACGTAGGCATTGAAAGTGTAGGAGTGCTAATCCAGTAAAGCACCGCACCTTCACTCCATGGTGTCATAAAGATTGTACGTCTGCCATTATTGTAGTGAAACAAATACAGAATCGGGAATACTTATGGGAATCCCTCCTTCAAAATATGATCAAAATAAGAGGATATTGATAGGTCAACAATGTATTGGTGAAGCAGAAGCGCCTAAATCCTCTTGAGGCAAGGGACAGTGACAATCTTAACAAACTGATGACGCTCCACAAATTTTGAATTTCCACATTCCCAGAGATACGCGCTGAAATCTTGCTTTTCACCCCTCTTTTCGACTGATCTCCGAGTCCATGAGCAAGATAGAAAGAAAATAGGCAAGCTACCTACTTCTGTTTGCCGTATGTGTCTTTTTTCTTGTACTTGAGTTTCAAAGGTGACTCATGTAAAGAGCAACTGCGAACAAGATTTCAGAACGTGCCGTTACATTTCACTAACCAAAGACACAAACCCAACCTTACCATTGTTATTCTTTCGCTTAGACTATATATTAATCTTCCATTGAGATTTGATATGAACTCAGTTCAAAATGCTTCTGAATTTAATTATTCGGGTAGATTGGAATATGGAGCTTTCAGTCTACCTGTAAAGCGCATTTACTAACATTCACTGCTGTCACAAGACATCCAAAAAAACAAAAATATGATTTTTGTACAAAATTTCGGCCCAATCCAAAAAATGTCACTAATTTCCAAAAAATGTCACTAATTACCAAAAAAGAAAAAAAAAATCAGGCACCCAAAAAATATGATGGCAGTACCGTTTGGATTCATCATTTAAAAGGAAATGATATCAAAACGGCCCAATTTCCTCTTTCATGATATACTATACACCCCAACGTT